ATGCTGACAAGGCACAAATTGATATCTTACACGCACAAGGTGTTAGGACTTGTCATATAATGGGATACATGGTGACTTAAAAGGGGGGATATGACAAGGTTTGTTTTACGAAAAAAGATTTATATAAGTATCTTGATAGACAAAAACATGTTAAGATTTAAGATGGAGATGCACGAGCTGCACTAAGTCACCTTCAAGGTACAACTGACAATTACCCCATGCTATTTTGTAAGTATGGTGTTGGAACAGATGGTAACTTAAAATATTTATTTTAGACAGATTGTGCAAGCATAGTAGAGTTTCAATGTTTTGGTGATGTTCTTCCATTTGACACTACTTATAAGATGAACAAATATAATTGTCCATTGGTTTTTTTCGGGATGTAATCACCATTCGCGGACGGTTATATTTGGTTGTGCTTTTGTGTCTGATGAAATTATTGAGACTTCCCAATGAGTTTTAAAGGCTATTTTGGAAGCAGTGTGCAACAAACATCCAATTTCAGTTGTTATAGATGGTGATATGGCTATGAGAGATGTTGTTAAAGAAAATTTCCCAAAATCTACTCATCGGCTGTGTGCATGGCATTTGCACCAAAATGCACTTGAGAATGTTAAGTTCCAGCATTTGTCGAGGATTTCCAAAAAGCAATGTACGCTAGTTATACACCCGAGCAATTCGAAGAATTTTGGCAAAACATTGTAGATGAACAAGATGTTGATTCTAATCCATGGGTATTAAAAACCTATGAGAACAAAAAGTTATGGGATACTGCATATTTGCGTGAGACATTGTTTGATCATATACGGACCACATCACAATGTGAAGCAATTAATTCTGTAATAAAATCTTATGTGAGGAAGAAAATTGCCCTTGTTGAATTTACTCATAATTTCGAGCAACTATTGAGGGAGTACAAGAATAATGAGGTGATTGCTGATTTCAAGTCATGTTTCTCTGAACCTGTGATGACAACTTCTTTGAAGGATATTGAGCGGGAGGCTGTCCAAATTTATACACTTAAAATATTCGAAGAAGTTAAGGAAGAAACTGAAATCAGTTGTGCATTAAATGTTATTGGTCGAAAACAAATTAGAGATAATTTGATGCTTGAGCTTAACCACTATAGTAATGCATATAGTTTGGTTGAGGTTGAGTTCGATATATTAAGTTCTGAATTCGTATGTGCTTACCGTCTTTTTGAATCGTGCGGCATCCCTTGTGGTCATATTATATGTGTTATGAAGACATAGCACATACACAATTTTCCCCCGTGTTTAATATGCAAAAGGTGGACTAAGAGGAGTAAGAGTGACATTGTTTCTTCATTATAACCAGATGAAGTGGACTATGATGTTTTGTTAACAACTCAATATCCTTCAAAGAAGTTTTCATCACAGGTTCCAAAAAACATGACTTGAAATTAGCAATCAGTTCATTATTCCTGTACTCCCCAATAGTTGCTCAAAATTATGAGAAAATTCAACAATGGTAGTTTTTTTCCTCACATAAGACTTTATTACATTATTAATTGCTTTGCATTACGATGTGGTTCGTATACAAACAAAGAATGTCTCGCGCAAATATGCAGTAGCCTATAACTTTTTATTCTCATAGGTTTTTAATACCCATGTATTAGAACGTGTTGGCCATGTGTGCATCAATTATCTGTGTGCTGAATGCACTATAAAGCTAAGGTATGCGCCTCTTCTAACACCAATTGGTTTTAGAAGAGTTGGTAGCGCCTGAGGTCCTACAGAACCAACATCATGTTCATCTATAATGTTTTGTCAAATTTTTTCGAATTGCTCGGATGTATAATTAGCGTACATTGTTTTTTGGAAATCCTCTACAAATGCAGGAATCTTAATATTCTCAAGTGCATTTGAACCAAAATGCCATGCACACAGCCAATGATTAGATTATGGTAAAATTTCTTTAACAACATCTCTCATAGCCATATCACCATCTATAACAACTGAAATTGGATGTTTGTTGCACACTGCTTCCAAAATAGCCTTTAAAACTCATTGGGAAGTCTCAATAATTTCATCAGACACAAAAGCACAACCAAATATAATCGTCCGCGAATGGTGATTACATCCCGAAAAAAACCAATGGACAATTATATTTTTTCTTCTTATAAGTAGTGTCAAATGCAAGAACATCACCAAAACATTGAAAGTCTACTATGCTTGCAACATCTGCCCAAAATAAATGTTTTAACTTATCATCTATTCCAACACCATACTTACAAAATAGCATAGGGTCATTGTCAGCTTTACCTTGAAGGTAACTTAGTACAACTCGTGCATCTCCATCTTGAATCTTAACATGTTTCTGTCTATCGAGATAATTATATAAATCTTTTTTCGTAAAACAAACATTGTCATATCCCACCTTTTGAATAACTATATATTCCATTATATGACAAGTCTAACACCTTGTGTGTGTAAGGTATCAATTTGTGCCTTGTCAGCATCATTCAGGGCTCGATAGGCAGTAAACAAGTGAACATATCCGAAATGACTTAAAAAATGGTTATGATGTTCTACAAAAGATGTCACTATCCATTTTGAACTCTTATAATCCAGGTGCACTCGAAACTTAGCTTCACCGATTTGTACGTGTGATCGACCTTTGTGGTTTCTTCCTATCCACCATAGTAAAATATTTTTTACCCCTCAATCCAGCTTTATTACATACTAGGTGACGCATTCTAATATTATTGTTCAAGACTCGTTGAACATCATCCTTCCTCACTTCAAATCCTTCACTTCTTACATATGTTTCATAAAACTTGCAAGCTTGATCCAAGGTATCAAACTCAAGATAACTAATCTCATCAAATGTTATCTCATACATGCTTCTAAACTCATCCCCTATATTATTTTTCTCTTGATTCAACTCATAATGGTCAATTTCAGGACAACTTTTATAAGACAAATCTTTATCCTCAGAATTTTTAAATATCCTATCACTCGTATTTATAAATGAGCCATAATTATATTCGTCCATCTAGAAAACAAATCCAACAATCTAATTCATGAATTGAAAGCAGATTCAAGGTATCGGGAAATTGCTCAAAAAGGCTGTTGCATCAGTTGGAAGTCTCTAATGCCTTTCTTCATGGTGTGGTTCCTGATAAAATTTATATGAAGCAGCCTCCTGGATATGTTGATCAGAAGTATCCCCATTATATGTGCTTGTTGAAGAAGTCCTTATATGGCCTTAAACAGGCTCCTCGGGCTTGATACCAGCAACTCTCAGGTTTTCTCAATGAGTACGGTTTTGGAAAAAATGAGCATGACACCGGTTTTTTCGGGATGCACTATGCTCGTGGTGTTCTTATTATTACTCACAATGATTCTTCTCTTATCACCGCATTCATCCAGGCCATGCAACAAGAATTTCAAATGAAGGATCTAGGCCCACTACACTACTTTATGGGCCTTGAGGTCAAACATACAAAGGCATATCTTATCGTGTCTCAAGAAAAATATGCCCGGAAATTGGTTTACAAGGCTAGCGTCAAGGACTGTAAGCATCTCTGACTCCCATTTCGGTTCGGTCGACCGAGGAAGGGGCAAACCGTCTGTTTGAGAACCCTACTTTCTTCCGGAGTTTAATTGGTTCACTTCAGTATTTAACAAACAACAAGCCGGATATTCAGTTTGTTGTAAATCATGTTTGTCAGCGTATGCATGCCCCTACAGAGCAGTACCTCCAATCCTTGAAGCGTATTCTACGATATGTTAAAAGCACAAATGACCGGGATTAATATTTTCACGAGGACTACGGAGTTTACAAGCCTACTCCGATTCTGATTGGGCAAATGATATGACGGATGGGCGCTCCATTACGAATTATTTGGTCTATTTTGGCTTGAATCTAATCTCATAGAGCACGAAAAAGTAAAGTCGTGTCTCTCGTTCTTCAATCGAGGTGGAATATTGTGCCCTCTCCGCTGCTGCCGATGAAGTCATGTGGCTCTCATATTTGTTTGATATTTTGAAGATTAAGCTTCTTCGTCGCACTTCTACTATGATAATCAGTCTACTATTTGCCTAACCAAGAACTTGGCATTTCACAAATGCATGAAACACGTGGGAACTGACTGTCACTTTGTACGAGGACACGTAATTGCAGAATAAATGATTGTTTCATATGTTCCGCCCACAGAGGAGATTGCTGATCTCCTCACCAAGTCCATGCAGTCACCACGCTATACAACTTTAGTTCCCAAGCTTACTCTCGTTTCACGACGTTCACAGCTTGAGGCAGAATATTAGACAACTATAGTAATATTTGTATTTATGATAGTGTTAGCATATTAGTCAATTACCATATTAGAAGAATCCTAATCGTGTCAAGATCTCCATCTATATAAACCATATGTACCCTTCTTTATTCCTTAAGTAAAATTTATTGTTTTTTTCAAAATCAACAGGGGGCATTTGCAATTTTAGAAAATTAAAATGAGGTGGACAATTTTAATTAATTCTCATCACTATCAATACACGTGGTAATAGTTGAATGGAGGGGTATAGATGCCCTCTTATATCTTTGGGCACCTAAGAAATTCCCAAATATAAAACCAATAGTTTACTACCCTTTTCGATAACTTTTTTGGTTGGAATTGGAAATGTTCGATCATAAAATTAGAAAGTATTTATTGAATAATGATGTACTCTATAATAAATACTATCTCTTGGATATTTGTCAAGTTTTGACTTTTTTGGGTCAATCATTTTCAATCTTTAAACTATAATTAGATGAAATATATACTGTATATTAATTAGATAAAATAATATTTTGAAAATATTTGATTTAATAAATCTGATAAATTAAGTAGAAATTGAGATCTCCACAAAGTAATCTCAGATCCAGTCTACTGATACATCGCCGAACGATCTACAAGAATCTGAAGGAACCATGGCTCGACGAGAGATCTGAGAGGATAGAGAAGATCGAACCATACGAGAAGATGAAGATGGAGAGTCACCAATAGTCTACAATGAGAAAGTTTACATACCATTACAAGGGCGATAACTCCGAAGATCATAACTCAGAAACTTCAAAAGAATCCTCCATCTTCTTAGCCATGAGTTGAAGCCCAGATTCATATTTCTTCACCAGATCCTCAAGCCGCCAACCCTCCACCGGATCCACCTCGAACCACCACTCGATCGCGCACCCCCCACCGCCGTTGTTGTCGGGAACAATCTTGACCGTCGAACTATACGATTCAAACCCGATGTTGGAGTCCACGATGGCATACCTAAGGCTCCGATTGACCGGATCGACGGCCGTCAGGATTTCTTTGGACCAACTGGTGGTGGCGCCGTCGCCGCTCTCCGACGGGAGGGAGAATCCGGCGCAGTAGCGGACGCATCCGGGCTCTCCGTTGGTGCCGTGAACGCCGTGGCAAACGGCTAGGCCTGGGAACCATTTATTGAGGCCGAAGAAATCAAGAAAAAGTGGCCAGATATGATCGGCGGTGGCCTTTTGTAGCCTTGCTGATACCCTTCCCTTCCACTTCTCATTCGATTCCATCATCCTCTACCCTTGATTTACTAAAATTCTAAAAAGATACTCCTTTGTAGCCCTTTTTCTTTGTTCACAACAGATCTTCTTATTTCATTTTTTAACAATTAAAATATTACAACTACTCTCACTTACTTTATTTATTACACCTCACTCACCTCATTTAATACACTCCACCCATTTTTCATTAAGAGTATTATGGTAAACTTTTACCTTTTTCAACTCTCCTTAAAAACTACCAAAAGTCAAAATGAGAACATCTTAGGCGGACGGAGGGAGTATATGTAACCAAAAATGCTTAACCTTTTGTTTGGATGGTGAGAAAAAGAGAGGAAAGAAAATTAAAGGTCAAAAAACATATACTTGGTACTTCAATACATTTTCTCTTATCTACTATAGTCTATACATACTTCAATACATTTTCTCTTAATAATAAAAATGATAAGAAAATATTTCTTCCTGTCCTAAAATATTTTTCCCATTTTTATCTACAAAAAAGAAATGACAAGACAAAATTATTTTATCAAATAACTAATGAAAATGGGTAAAGAAAGTAATTAAAATTTGACCATTTAAATAATAACTGGGATATGTTTTAAGGCAGAGGGAGTAAAAAATAAAAATGGGGTCCACTTAAAAACTTTTCTCACCTCCCATGGTTAGAAAATGCACCAACCACATACTAAAATTTTTTCTTCTTCATTTTATTTTCTTTTTTTCTTCATATTTTCTCATCACTTTCACATCATTTTTACATTATCCAAACAACAATACTTTTCTTTCCATTTTCTCATCGCTTTCTCATTTTTTTCATTTTCTTTCCTATTATTTTCCTTCCTCTCCTTTTCTCACCTAATCCAAACAAAGGGTTAGGGACCGAAGAATTGCACACCGAAGTATACCAACACACTACCTCCGTTGCTGAGTATTTGTCCAGTTTTGACTTTTTTCGATTAACTGTTTTCAACCTTTGACATATAATTAAATAAAATTTATATTGTATATTAATTAGATAAAAAATATTTTAAAAATATTTGATGTAACAGATCTAATAAAACTATTTTTGTATCAATATATAATATCATTTTTATTTAATTTGAGGTCAAAATTTATTAATTTTGATCGAAAAGAGTTAAAAATGGACAAATACTCAGGAACGCAAGAAGTATATAAACACTCAAGGGTGTATTCATTTTAGATATAAAAAGTTTTACTATATCACTTAGAATCTATGGGTTACGTAAGATCTATAGATTTGTTTAAGTCTACGCACCGTTAGATAGATTTTAATGTACTTTATCAGTAGATTTTATATGATTCTTTCTAATTGTTAATAATCCATGATTTATTTACACATAAATATGAGAACTTTTTCAAACACAGGCGTGCGTTGTGAGCCTAAGAATTTTCTCAAATATTCCATGAACTTTCTCAAATACTTGGCATGGCGTGCATTGTGAGACTAATAATCCATGATCTTAGCTATACTTTTGTCCGTGAGCATTAAGTTCGATGATGAAGTTCAAGCCTTGCTTCTGCTATCGTCTTTGCCTGATAGTTAGTCCGAAAGGGTTACAGGTGTTACCGGTTCAGTGGGACCTGATGGATTCACCTTTGATCAAATTCGAGATCTCGTTCTTGGCGAGGGTGTCAGAAGAAAGAGTTTTGGGGAGTCATCTGGTGAATTGCTTCTTGTTAGTAGAGGTAGAAAGAATAGCAGAGGTAGTGGGAGCAGGAACAGACGAAGGAGTCAGTCGAAGACTCGTGACAGCTCAAGTGTAACATGATGGAAGTGCTCGGGGGTGGGGCATTTCAGGAATCAATGCCCGAATGATAAACAAGTGAACATTGTTGAAGGCTCCGTGAGTGACGAAGAGGTCCTTCTGACTTGTTGTGCGGAGAGCAGTGTGAATTCCTGGGTCATGGATTCTGGTGCTTCATTTCATGTTACCCACAGCAGTGAAGCATTGCAGAATTTGGTTATTGGAGACTTTAGAAAATTACGACTAGCAGACCCAGAGCTCTTGAGGTGACGGGCATGGGTGACATAGTGTTGAAGACCTCAGTCGGTTTGTAGACTTTGAAGGATGTTAGAGTGGTTCCAACCTTGAAGAAAAGTTTTGATTTCTGTGAGGCAGTTGGACGAACAGGGACACGAGGTGAAGTTCAGAGATGGGCTGTGGAAGGTCGTGAAGGGAAAATCTTGTCATGGCCCGCGGAAGGAAGAGAGGTTTGCTGTATATGGTCGAGTTACCATCTAAGGAATTGACTGTCCCAGTTTAGAAGAAAAACGAGCGAGCGAGGGAAACCCAGAGCCACACGCCAGACTCAGGATGAACGAGCGAGGAAAGGTTCAAGGAGGCCAGTAAGAGGTATTTATGGTTGTGGGAGTTCAAGAGGCACTTCATCCAAGTTTCTTAGAAGATAGTGGGCCAGGAGAACCAGTATTGCAACTGTTGGAACATCTCTAGAAAATTTCTTGCTAAGTATGGAGAGTGTTTGTTCTAATGATGTTCCAGGATCTGACAGTGCGTGTCTGTGGGAGCCGGTAGGGACCGAGGATGAGTCAAGGGCAGATTTTGCAGTGATTGATGTGTTGGAGCTTGAGAGAGCTTCAACGGGCCTTTTAGTTGTCTGATGAGAAAGCTGTTGCTGCAGGAGAGCTAGGGAAGATTACTAGATGTACAAATGATCGTGGTGGATGGCAGTTGTTATCAAGCCTCCAAATGGGAGAATGTTGGGTTTGTGGAGGCTAGATATTCTTTGGACTTGACTTGTTGGCCTAGTCCATGTTATGAAACCCTAGATGCGCTCTTCCTATATATTGCATACTTGTACTTGTAATCGAAACCACAAGTGAAATAAAAATTTCTCATGTTGTAGTCATGGATTAGGGAAACGTAACCACGTTAAATTCTTGTGTGTCATGTGTGTTCCGTTCTCTCTTTTGATTCTCGCAGATTATTTATGTGTGTTGTGTGTTGAATTCCCCAACACTCAACGAATGACACCAGCTCGAATTGAAGCTTGTATGGTACTTCATTTGTAAAATTGATAGTTCCTATCCCACTAACTACTCCGATAAACTCTCCTACCCCGCTTCGGCCCAAATTCACCCCCAAATCGCTTTAATTTGATAGGAAAAAGAATATAAAATGAGAGAAAAAAAATGATTTTTCATGTTTGGTTAGAGAAGAAAAGAAAAGAAAAATAGATTAAAAAAATTAGAAAGAAAATGTACTGAGAGGAGGGAAAACCAATTCCTCCCATTTTGGTGAGAAAACTGAGAGAAAATAATTTTTTTCTTTCAAAATTTCTTGAATCAAACATAGTGTAAGTAATTTGTTAGAGTATCTCACATCGAAATATGAATAGAAAAATAATTGGTATATAAGTTCTTGAGTTGAGTTAAGTATTCGATTTAATTCAATCTTTTAATGTATTTCTACCCAAATTTCTTATGGCCCAGTCCAATGATCTCTATCTCATTATAAATTTTATCTTGGTATTGAAGCAGGTTTTGGCCCACCTCATCTGTCAAAGGTGTGTGTCTAGACGTCCAATCCTAGCAGCTCTAGTCTTTAGCCCAGCTGTCTGTATAGAATACATACCCAATGACATGTGGCCCATTTAACCCGATGGTTCATCCTAGCGACTTAGAATCCTTTAGGTGTTTCCGCTCAAATATTCATTTCAAAGAATAAGATTCATTTACAAATGGTCAATCGGTTAGATTCAAGCATTGTTGTTGTTAAAACGGAGTAATAAATTGTAATTTATTTTTATTTTCTATCCATTCCAAACTGATTCTCGTATTAACAAAAATGAAATTTTTGGTTTACTATTTTTTATGATATACAAATTTTGAATTTTTATAAATAAATTAGAATCACACTAAATGATCCTTTATAAGTGAGAGTTTCCATATTTAGTCTATATTTAGGGAATTCCCTCATCCGCAAATTGAATCGATTGGATGGGGAAATGTTGACCTTTCTTCTAGGCTACGGTGGACGAATTTGTGTGACATCAACAAAGGTAGCACGGTCACAGGTTTTAAGTTCCTATATTCATTTTTTTAATTACAGTATGATTTTCAGATTTATTAAACTTGATTTTCCTAAATTTGATTATCCATTATTTAATTATTTTATGTTTAGTTTAAATTTTGTTTGTAGTGAACAACGAAATGTTTAAGTTACAATTTAAAATGGGAGATTATGCTACAATTCTTCATAAAATCATTCTATTACTTTGGTTGGTGTTGTTGTTTTTGCTGGTCCTTTTCTTCTGTTTTTGTCGGTCCAAAAGGTGGAATCGCCCACCCCATGTGCCCCCACCTCCTTGCCCGACAGGAATGATGGAGGATGTAAATCATGGTGACTCAGTCGGCTAAGAACGCTAGACCCGTCCCCACCGCGCACAAGGAGCCTCCTCACCCTTTATGGGATTTTTGGATACCTCCCACACTGCCGCTTGCGGGATTCGATCCCTGGTCACCGGTCCAAGATTTCACGCTCTTGACCAACTGAGCTACCCATGCGGGCTTTTCTTCTGTTTTTGTTGTTGTAGTTGTAGAGGTGTAACTATCTTCATTGTCCGCTCTTGCACTGGGAAAAGGAAAGTTCTTGGCTCAAATCTAGCGTCTATCTCCAAATTCTTCATTAAAAGATCAAATCTTTGGCATGAAAATGGAAAACTCAAATAGCGGTATTGAAAAGATCAAAGTGGGGATAAAGTTCTTGGCACCGGCCGACACAAGGACACTCAAAGGGGCTGTTTGTTTCAGCCTCTTAATGGTTCAGATGTCTGAGTAGTTCAGCACTTAATGGTTCAGACTGTTTGTTTCAACCTCTTAATGGTTCAGATGTCTGAATGGTTCAGACATTTGCCTCTGAATGGTTAAGTATTATACAGAGTCTGAATGGTTAAGATTTCTTATCTGAATTGATCAGACAGTTGCCTCTGAATAGTTAAGCAATATACTAGCTCTTAATGGTTTAGACCTCTTACTGGTTCAGCACTTAATGGTTCAGACCTCTTACTAGTTCAGCACTTACCTATTCAGAAGTTGTCAAACAGCCCCTCAGCAAAATCTGGGTTTTAACCCCCAAATCTCTTTGAGAGGGGATCTTACCCTTCCAATCCCATCAACATTGATGAGCACAAACGTATTCTTGTTGTGTGGTACTTCAATTTTTTCATTGTTACATGCTAATATTGGTTTAATTTCTTTAAGCAATCATTTCAGGATTTACTGATTTTATATTTTCTTGATTTCTTATGTATTTCCCCTTCACCACTTTTTTGTCTATTTGTAGTGACATTGGTTGAGAATGGAATAATTGTATTAGATTCTCATGCGTTGGAAACCCTTCTTCCGATGTGTTGTTTCAATCTAAAAGACCCGGCTACTTGCGTAGAAGCATGGGTTGGGGAGCACCTCTTACTTCTATCAAATTATATAAATCTAATTTTAATCTTGGTAATTTTGTACTAACATTGGTGAGATGTGTTGTTTTGCTTCTAACAAAAACGTGCATCTTCAAGCACTTGCAAATGATGTAAATTACATATCTCTTGCTGAATTTGCCAAATGGGTTGCTAACAAGCAAGTTTTTGCCAATGAAACATACCTTAAAAATGCCTTCTATTATTGTGTTTATTATAGTGCTATTTAAATTAGATTCTGAATAAATATTTATAAATGGACATGTGTCTATATCTCTAGGTGTATTATGAAGTATTTTAATGTTGTTGAATGATATTATACATCAATTGTATTACTCCCTCCGCCCAGTTTTAAATCGCATGTTTAAATTTTTGGGCATATTTAAGGAAAATTAAAAATGGAGTGGATTTTTCGAAATTGTCAATACTTTTTAGGAGGGATGATGATGAATGAGAATATATAATGTGGAGAAGATTGACTTATTTTAGAGCTAGTTTAGGTATTTTATTTTTAAAAGTTTACGAAAACAACTAATAGGCAACTTATTTTGGGACGGAGAAAAAAGACAAACAGGCAATTTAAAATGGGACGGAGGGAGTATAATTTATATCTTAAAATACTACCCCGTTGAGGTTCAAAAAATAATAATTCAAATTTATTATTTCAAAATTATGAATAAAGGTAGCAAAAAGGTAAAAATTGAAGTTGGCCATGTTTTCATATCAAGTGTATAGGGTAGGGTTGTAAATGAATTGAATATTTTTTGTTCAATTCGTGATTCGTATTCGATTTTTTCAAATCCGAATACGAATACGAATCTGAATAAATATTCGAATCCTTATCGAATACGAATATGAATCAAAGGTATTCGATTCGTGATTTGACAAATATATTCGGAATATAAATCTAATTATACAAAAAATACATGTGTGTCTGTCTGTCTATATATATATATATATATATATATATATATATATATATATATATATATATATATATATATATATATATATATATATATATATATATATATATATATATATATATACACACACACACACAAAATATTTTAAAATCTAAATGAATCGAATATTTTTAAAGGAACCAAATATATTTAAACGAACCGAATATGAATCTTTAAAAATATTCGAACCGAATTCGAATTCAAATTCGAATATCGCTTCATCTTAACGAATACAAATATTTTTCATGGATATTCGATTCGGTTCGTTTACAACCCTAGTATATATAGGGCAGAGCATCACGCCAAGGCGTAGAAGACATACTAAATCTGTCTCATAATTGTCTTCTATTTGATTTTTTACAGTGTCTAATGCATCACTTTGACCATTAATATTTTTATTTATATATAATTTTATATAATAAAAATATGATATTTCAAAATGAATCTCTTGATATTAACTTTATATCATAATTCAATTTTATTTTTCATACATTATGGTCAATGTTAGAAACTTTTGACCAAGAAAAAAGCAATCCAAGAAATGATTCTAAGATGGAGCTGAGGGAGCCCTATACTTGTATCTTTGCCAGCAAAGTGTTATTACATTCGGAGAGCTAGAAATGGGGTATTGGGGTTATTCATAATAAAAATTTCAAGGATGAGAAGACCATTGAAACTATAAAGTATAATGTGAAATCTATCCGTTGTGAATGTATTATGTTTGGACGGCTTGGTCAATAAACATAGCACTTCCAATTAAAAAACAACTTAGAAAACAAAAGTACATAGCCAATCAATCGTCAAAAATTTTACTACAATAACAGTTATATATACTAATTGGAATCAATACGAAATAGGTCGTAAGGAAGAGAATGAATGCAATTCTCCATTTGTTCTTGATTTCAGCAAGTACTCTTTCTTTGCAAGAATCACAACGGTAGCAAAGTTTTGTTTGGTCGTTATTCCAAGTCGTACAGTCAGCATCAACATATGTCTGATTAGTAGTTGGGGATTCCCAATATGTTGGGCTCACAAAGGATAGCCCACATTGCGAAGGTGGCATACAACATTGAGACTGCAAGCAGTTGTAATCAATTTATACTACAAGAAAAATGGGATATAAGTACACTATTTAAGGACACATAATTTAGAAAGTGTCATTGCAAATTATATATGACACGGTTTATTAATTTACTACTCTATGTTGATCCCAAGCGCAAAATCCCATTTACTTTTTTTTCTTTAAACGAAAATTGATAGCGAGAGGGAGGTCGCAGAGAGGGTGAGTCGATGCCGAGGCTAGGGATTGGAACCCTAGTTCCAGGCCCTGTTTTCAATGGAGAATCTACAGCGTACAACAACGAGCATAGATATCGAGAGAGATGATGAATGGAGACAGCTTGGTGCAATTATCAGCGGCATCCTAACAATGATTTAGCGGCGAGTTGATTGCCAAATTCTATAAAATTTAGCGTCCATGGCTCTTTGCTGGTATAATCTTCATATCAAAGTTGTTCTTTAGTTGCTTCTTTCGTATTTCGATTAGATTTTGTGTTTATTGTTTATTTTAGTGCTATTGTTTTTGGTTCGTTTAATGACTGAATATATCTAAAATTGATATTTGATGGTATTGAAAGGTTGATTTGATTCTGTTCCGAATCCCAGTATATGTTTTTTGTGTTGTTATGTTTAATCGAAGCATTTTTACTCTTTTACTTGAGGTTAATGAAAGCATGAAATTTGATTTTCTTTTGTGGAGGAATAGGACTGGCATGGATTTTTTACAGCTTCTATTTCTACTTGTTTATTGTAATTGGTTAGCTAAAACTAGTTAACCAGAATTGTCAAATTGTGATTTGTAGATTAGAAACTATGTAACACTTGTGTATACATGGGTAGTCAGCGACAAAACACATGAGAACATTTTATGTCAAGATTTTCCTTGTCTAATTGATGAACATGGAAGTAAGACACAACATTCTTGGTAGTGGAAAATTTCTCTTGATGTCTATTTTTAGAGATTGATCCTCTTTTCAAGTATTTGCTTTCAAGTAATTGATGAATAAAGCATTCACCAAAATTCAAATAACACCTTGTACGTGGTATGTCATACATTTTATTGTTTTCTTGGGATTCCAAATCCCAAACATGTTTTCTAATGCTTTTACATCTTTTACTTATATCTGTATAGAAGGTTTTTTGTTTGCCTAGATTTTGTAGATGTGCTAAGTGGAATGCAATCATTTATCCCATCCGAAATTGATTTTTATATTGATGAATTTAATGATGAGGATGGTAATACTGACAGTGACTATAATGATGACATGAAAGGCGACACTGAAAATGATGATGGAAATGATAATGAATATGAAGAGGTGACTTCTTTCAGTATATATATGTGAGGGTTGTGAGGCAAATGGGCTTGTGGTCAAGTTCTAATGGATGTTTTTTTATTTTTATCCACAGTAATGGATGTTTTTCTTTACAATTAGGATAATGGTTCTCAAGGATCATTTGTTGATTGCCTATCTTGAGTTAAATCATTTTTAACTTTGATTTTATTCTTAAATGCTTCTCCAATGAATATGCAACTTCACAACTATTGTTTTCTTTGGTTTATGTTACTAATTTCCAGGTTGCAATTGCACAAGATTAAAGAACTGATAAAAGTTGTGGGGCAGAGAGATAAATTGTATACAAATGGGGTACAATATTGTTGTACCTCAACATTAATCATTTTTTATCCACACCAAGAAATATGAGGAGTAGAGATGGTTAGTGTACAACTTGGGATACACCTTGGTGTAGAGTTGGTCATTTATGAATCAATTGTCCCGTGCAAATGCTATGTGGGCCAAGTCACAATTGGATATCATGGGCGCTTGTGTTTGTTGAATGTACTATAAGGCTAGAGTATGTGTTACTTCTAACACCAATTGGTTTTAGGATAGTTGATAGTGTGTGAGGTCCTATAAGTGGTATCAGAGCAAAGGTTACAAGTTAGATTCCTAGCAGGAGCAATGGATGAGGGGGGATTGTTTGCCTGTGAGCAAGGTGATTGTATACAGCGACCATGCCGCACTAAAAAATGTCTTTGCAAAAAAAGGCCAAACCTCGACTTATCATGTGGGTGCTACTTCTCCAATAATTTGACAAGGAAATCTGAGACAAGAAAGAGAGTAACAATGTGATTGCGAATCATTAGTCGAGAATTGAAGACCACTCTCTTGAATAGGAGAGCAAGTCACTCCCTATTAACGACTCATTCATTGGAGAATCTCTTTATGTTGCACAAGGAGTTATGCCTTGGTTTGCCGACTTAGTCAACTACCTTGTGTGTAACCACTTGCCACTAGATCTCTCTCATGCACAAAAGGAATGTTTCCTTCATGAGATGAAGACTTACTATTGGGATGAGTCTTTGTTATTCAAGCAATGTGAGATGTAATAATGCAAATGTGCATCTCCGATGATGAATTTGAAGAAGACCTCACCCATTGTCATTCTTCTCCTTATGGTGGACATTTTGGTGCACATAGAACATCATCTAGAGTTCTTTAATGTGGTCTCTTTTGGCCAACACTCTTCAAGGATGCTCAAGCATTTGTTAGGCAGTGTGATAGATGTCAACGAACTGGTACCATTGGAAGATGGCATGAAATGCCTCATTTTGGCATCTTGGAAGTTGGGCTATTTAATTTATGAGGAATTGACTTTATGGGACCATTCTCAAGCTCTTGAAAGAACTCATTCATTGTAAAGAAGTTGATTATGTATCTAAATGGGTTGAGGCAATTTATAGTCCTAGGAATGATTATAAGGTTGTGATTCACTTCTTGAAAAAGTTCATACTCACTCTCTTTGGAGTTCCGAGGGCTCTTATCCCGGATAATGGATCCCATTTTTGTAATAATCCACTTGAAAAGGTGTTTCACCAGTATGGAATTCATCACAAGGTTGCCACACCATATCATTCTCAAATAAATGGCCAAGTGGAACTTTTCAACCGTGAGATAAAGAGCATATTGGAAAAAGTGTTGAATCCTTCGAGAAAAGATTGGGCTTTGAAGTTAGATGATGTTTTATGGGCTTACCAAACTGCATTCAAGACGCCGATTGGCACTTCACTATTTAAATTACTCTACGAGAAGGCTTGCCACCTGCGGGTAGAGCTCACTCACAAAGCAAAATGGGTCATTCGCACATTGAATCTTCACTTGAAGCTTGCTGGAGAAAAGCGGTTGCTACAACTTAATGAGCTTGAGGAGTTCAGTTGAATGCCTTTGAGAATGCCTCCATTCATAAATAAAGAACAAAAAGGTGGCATGATAAAAGGATTCTACGAAGGGATTTTCAGTCGGGGGATAATGTTATTCTATCCAACTCAAGACTCAATCTTTTCCCTGGAAGGCTCTAGTCCTGGTGGTTCATCCCCTTTCAAGTAGTGGAGAGTTTTCCCTTTGATGCCATTACAATATCTGACAAAGGGAGGGAACTTATGGTGAATGGTCAATGCTTAAAACACTATATTGAGGGGGCACCACTCAAAGGGAAATTGATCTTTAGGCTTGAAGATCCTATTTATTATTGATCTTCATAGACGTATCGTCAAGCTAGTGACGTTAATGAAGTACTTCTTAGGAGGCAACTCAAGTGCATTTCACGTTTTCTTATATCTTTTTTCGCTTCCCCCATTTTTGCATTTGCATATTTACTTTTCTTTTTTTCATTTACTTTTATTTCTTTCAATAAGATGTTTCTTTCTGTATTACTCTTGTGCTTCACCATTTTTTTCCATGTTTGTGTTTGAGATGTTGAGAAGTAGAAAACTTCAGCCAAATACCAAACTTGAGGATTTATTTTGGGCAAGGGAGTGGGGTGATGTGCTTGCTATGAGCTCACTTGATTTTCATGGATCATGACCACACACATTGTTCCACTTCTCTCACAAGCTTACTGAGTTTGAGTTTCTCTTTCCTTTTACTTAATTCTTGGTTTATGTGGGGATGCCTTGTCGTTTTGCTTGCATGTGTGTAAGGGGGATTATGATTATGTGCTTATGAAATTGTGTTGAGTTGTTTTCTTTGTTATTTGTTGTCATGATATCATATGTGTTGAGTTTTGTTAATTTGATCCCTTCCCACCCACCTTTGACCAAACTTGCCATGTGTGATATTCACCCTCTTTGCCCCTTAGTGATTCGTTTCTCTTGACAACGAGGATGGTGTCTCGACTTAAGTGTGGGGGGAATAATATGAACTTTGGTATTTGAGCTTGTGTGCAATCTATTCTTAACTTGTGTCATGTGGTGACACTCATAAATGTTGGTGAATGTTTTCTTACACTTGTGCAAGGGAGTTTCTTTAGTGTTTCTTTGTGGTGTAAAAATCCATGAGGATCACCAGATCTTACACATGAGAGTTAGAGCTACATTATGCACACACTCACCTTTGAGGGACAAAGTGATGGAGGCACAATTCCACTCTTGTTTCCCCTCGTTTCCCCCATTACTCTCACTTGTCCATATGGCCCATGTTCATACCTAGAAGAGTCCTTATTGTTTATGTTGCTTAATGTAGGGTCTTGGTTGGAAATATCTTTAATGATTTGTGCTGATGGGTATTTGCTTGAGTTCAGACTTGATAGACGTATCATTGCAAAGCAAATGGATGATCTTGACTTTGTCTCATATGCTACCTTATCATACACACATTTCCATGGAGGGGGACTAGAATCACACCATTGTATAACACCGATGGATATGCAATCTCATGTGTGTATGCTTTGGTAGCATCAACTCTTGTATTGCAATACATATTTTACCCTTTTGGGGATATTAAATAAAAAATGGAATAAATGCGCAATTGAATAATGAGACATACGTGCTTTTGCTTGCACTCTTGGAGTATACCTTAATGGAGGGTCGAGCTCCGGAATGTACCTTGATTCGTCCAAAATGCATGAGCCATAACTGATTGTTTCTAAAGGTGGATTCCTTGATACATGTATCACATCTTCTTACCGATCTTGACTTCTCTTGATAGCAAGTTTACGCTTTGGATTTATCCTTAGCTTCCCCAAATAACCCTTTCAATCTCACTTTTCCTATCTCTTACCCTTTCATCTTCCCATCTATATCTTATGTTTCACCTCTATTTAATAAAAGACTTCTTGATTGTGCTTAGAGGTTAGGTTCTAAGTTATAAACTTTGAGTGAAAATACAAATAAATGAGCGTCATCTTCTGAGCTTGTATGATTCTCTTGGGTTTTCATTCCATATAGAAGCATTTGTGAAGTTTTCTTGAGTTGTGTTTATTTATATTCATGGCGCATGCTAAGTTTTTCTATTTGGCACTCGTTGAGATGACTATATTTCAAGTTTGTGGTGGCCTTTGTTTTTGATTGCTTGAGAACAAGCAAACATCTAAGTTTGAAGGAGTTGATAAGTCTAGTATTTTTGCATATGTTTTTATATTTTGTTAGACTTATTGACCTTATTTTTATACCACCTCTGTCCCTGAATATTTTTCCAGTTTTGACTTTTTTCGGTCAACTGTTTTCAATCTTTGACCTATAATTAAATAATATATATATTATTTATTAATTAGGTAAAGTAATATTTTGAAAATAATTGATGTAATACATCTAATAAAACTATTTTTGTATCAATGTCTAATGTCATTTTTATTTAATTTGAGGTCAAAGTTTACTAATTTTGACCGGAAAAAGTCAAAAGTGGACAAATACTTAGGACGGAGGGAGTATTAAATTGTATATCATCAGTTAATATTATGATTTTGGACTAATTTGTGTTTATGGTTTGATTATACAGTTCTATTACTCCGGTATAAGAGAAGGATCAATTAGCAAACATATTAGTAAAATGAGGGCCAATTTATTTATAGAGTAAATTTCATAAAGGGTCTCCAGTTATAGGTGGTTTTACATATTTATTTCCTACATATCAAATATAACTAATTTAGTCCCCAATTATTATATTCATTTCCACGAATGGTCCTTTGTTAACATTTCCGTTAGGAACGTGGATACAATTGTAAATTCACACTCTTGTCTCTCCTCAATTAAGTTTCCTCCCTCCTCTCGTACTATTTCCCAAACTCATCGCTGAGTGTGAAGCTTTATACCCAAAACTGAAATGATCATTTATCTCTCAATTATTATTCTTCCTGGTGAAACCTAAAATAAAAACCAATAAGATTTATGGATGAGTTTTATCGGCTAGTCTCAAGAAATTGCAAAGAAAATAAAAATTAAAACTCATCCATAAAGATTAATGGTTTCGAATTTGGGTTCCACCAGTTAGACAAACAATTGAGAGAAAAGTGATGATTTCGATTTTGGGTTTAAAGCTTAAAACTCAGGGATGAGTTTGAGAAAAGAGTGCGAGGGGAAGGAGGAAACTTAATTGAGGAGAAAAAAGAGTGTGAATTTACAATTTTATCCATGTTCTTAACAAAAATGTTAACAAAGGACCATTCGTGGAAATGAATATAATAATTGAGGACTAAATTAGTACTATTTGATATGTAAGCACTAAATATGTAAAACAACCTATAACTGGGTAACTTTTATGTAATAAGAAATCACCCTACATAGCACTCTAACTCACCCTAAATTACGCATCTAGCACTACTCATTGTTTTTAACAAATTTAGCACTTTTTTGGGGTCAATCCTTTCCTATCATGCCCTTTAACCTTTTTTCTTTTTCTCATTAAAAATTACGGCACTCCCTAGGCCGCACATACTCTTCTTGCGCTCGGCCGCACGTTCTCCTTCAGTCGCCCGCCATCATGCGTCCTCAGGCCTTCTCCCACGATTCCTGGGCCGATCAGCAGCGGCAATCATCAGGTTATCTCCGCTTCCTTCATCGATGTGGCTAATCATTTTCTCTTCTCCTTCAATTTTTAATTTTCATTCCTTCATCCCTTTATTCGGATTTCCATGTATTTTTAGTTTTAATTATTGTGTTTTATTCGTACTGAAGATTAGGTGGTGTGAATAAATCAATTTTGAAATACCTAGTATTTGTTCCTTTTGAAAAATTAGGTCTTTTGAAAGGCATTGTGATTTTGGCAGTGTTAAGATTATGTGTTATGGTGTGGGCAGTGTGAAGATTAAATGCCTAAATGTTATCCTGCATTTTTTGTTTTATTTATTTCCTTAATCCTTAATATCTGAATTTGGTTCTTATCCTTAAAAAAACTTTGCATGTCAAAAAATTAAAAAATAAATTCACCTAAAACAATCCCACCTTTCATTTATTTTCCAAAAATATGTATTTTCAAAAAATCCTGTTTAGTGGCCGTTAGTTTTTTAACGGCGTCCAAAACTTGCACACATGCAGAAAGGTGAGATTAATATGTATTTGTTTAATATTCTGAAGTTTGCAATGTGACTAAAACGCCTATCATGTATATATATACAATGTGTTTTTGTATTCACCACCTCCATGAAATCCAACATTTTCATCGCATATTAGGTTATACGTCTATTCTTTGAGTTCATTCCTTTATTTAATTTAATTGAATATTTTCTCTTTTATTATTTAAAAGGAGCATCACAGATGGGTCCAAATTTGACGATATTGCTACGTGTTGATGGGACATGGGATACTCATGGAAGCTTTATATTGTGGCAATGTAGATATATTCTAGCAGTGTAGATATATTGTGGCATTATATTTCAGACATTGAATTTTTGGGGGGCATATATTGTGGCAGTGTATTTCAGACATTGAATTTTTAGAAGTACATATTGTGGCTAACATTATGGCAATGTATATATTGTGGCAGTGTAGATATATTGTGGCAGTGTATATATTGTGGCAGTGTATTATATTATATCTATTCTCTTAATCTCTGAGTAGTTTTTTTCTCATTTTACAACACGTTATCAGCATGAATTTGCTCAAAAATCTCAGAATCCTTGTTCTTCTCAGAAGGTATATTTATTTAATTTTCTTCATAAACAAACTAAAATATTTTCTTAGAAACTATGAGAAGTATGCTCTGTGATTGCCCGAATTGTGGCAGTGTAGATATATTGTGGCAGTCTATATATTGTGGCATTGTATTTCAGACATTGAATTTTTGGCAGTGCATGTATTGTGGCAGTGTATTTCAGACATTGAATTTTTGGAAGTACATATTGTGGCTAACATTATGGCAGTGTAGATATATTGTGGCAGTGTATATATATTGTGGCAGTGTAGATATATTGTGGCAGTGTATATATAATACAAATTTGTTTAATTAAGGGTAATATTGGGAATTCATCTCAAAAACTTATAGCACTATTATTTTGCGTATTATAAGCCTATTAAAGTGCTATATAATTTAATTTTGTTTACGGTGAGGTTCTAGTGCCACTGGAGTACGGTGCCACTGGCATTTTGGAGCACCTCTGATGTTCCGTTTGCAAAATTGACGGTTCCTACCCCTCTAACCACCCCCCTGAACCCCCCACCCTACCCCCGCCCCTGCACCCCCACCCCAACCCCGCCGTAAGCCCCCACAAAATATGTGGCTATTATGAACGCATAATAGCCACACATTTTGTGGGGGCTTACGGCGGGGTTGGGGTGGGGATGCATGGGCGGGGGTAGGGTGTGGGGTTTAGGGGTGGGTTAGGGGGTAGGAATCGTCAATTTTGCGAACGGAGCATTGGAGGTGCTCCAAATGCCAGTGGCACCGGAGTGGCACCGTACTCCAGTGGCACTAGAACCCCACCGTTTTATTTATAATAAGGATAAGTTTATAATGTTGAAAGACCAGGCGAAGATCGGACGGACCATTCTAGGAACGAGGACCGGACGGAAGAACGTGGGCCGGAGCTTTTTCGATCGGGATCTGGAAGCGAGGGATCGGACGACGGGGTCCTTCGACGCTGGACTATTCTCCGACTGCCATAGCAGCGGTGATTTGGATGAAAACTCCAGGCGACGAAGCAGCAGGGCCACGGGCGAACTCCAAAACCTCCGGCGAACCCTAGTCTCCGCGGAACAATCGCGATTGAGGGCTGATTCTGGTCCTATTTCTTCATCTTCTTTGTTTAGTATTCTCATCCAAACTTTTCACTTTTCCTCCTTTTAGATTTGTTCACTCTACTTTTGAGTTCAAATGGTCTAATCGCATAAGAATAGATGTCCCTTCTTGAACCTTTTGTTCCATTAAATTTCTAAAATGATCCTTTGTAATAAAGTATTTTTTCAATTAAGTCTTTAATAAGTTCTAATTATATACGCAATCCTTCATAATTGAGATTTATTTTTTAGATGATCATTCGTAAATAATAATACTCAAATGATGATTAATTAAAGGATATTTTGGTATTTTTATAATCTTAATTTAAAATATATCCTCAGATATGGTCATTTCTGTATAATTACATGTAAAGTTAAAATACTCCCTCCGTCCTATAATGTTTTTTCCGGTTCATTTTAACTATACATAATCCATGAATGATTAAAAATCTATAAAAGAAACCTTTAAAATTCGAATCAAATACACGTCTTTAATTAGAAAAAAGTATTTTGGAAAGCACTTGATTAAAAATGATCATTTTAAGAATTTATTCTAAATTTAGTTGATAAAAAATACCAAAATATCTCTAAAAAATCATCATTTGAGTTACATTATTTGCAAAAGATTACCTAGAGAATAAATATCAATTATAAAGAATCACGTAGCTAATTAAAACTTATTGAGAATTGATTTGGAAAAAACACTTTATTTAGGGATTATTAAAGAGGACAATTTTGAAAATTTCGGTATTTTAAAAAAGAATAAAGTGACACCTTAAAGGCTTCAACCTTTTTTTAGGAGTTGAGTGAGTAAAGAGGAATCATATACGTACCTGCAATGGGTTGAGGTGTGCAGAGGACAGTTGTTGAGAGGAAGTGTAAGTTTGATTCAAGCGATCACAGCGAATAGAAGGAGCGAGGCAAGCAACGATGTGATCCCACCGTTCGGCGCCGCTAACTTGATCCCGAAGCCCTTGGGGGAGGTGATCGAGGCGGGGGTGGGAACCGTACGGCTCCACCCGGTCAGAGGAGTTGCCGGAGATGCTGGTGAAGCCGTAACCGAGTGAGAAAATAACGACCACGAAGAAAATAATGGCGACTAAAATGTATGAACAGAAGCTACATTCTCTATATGGAATGCTCTTTCTGTTACAGAATGCTAGGAGGCTAACCCCGCCTAGTACTGACAAAAGGAATCCCCCACTCTCCAATGTGACCTGGAGATCTTTAATTTTGACACACGAGTTGTATACCCAATAGTAGATGCAGATGAGGATGAAATCAAGAACCAAAGGCAGGGTAAAGGTAGTTAAATTTACGGCGAACCTGCATCGGGTTTCTGGCATTCTTACTGTTTAGTCTAATTTAAATTATACTCCGTAGTATATTGGTGGGATGGTAAGAATTAATGGAACCAAACCAGGTTATTTATACACGTTTATATAGCTAGGACTAGGGAGGTAAACAAATCAAATATTTTAAATTCGATTCGTATTCAAATATAATGATTCGAATTCGCATTATTCAAATACAAATACAAATTTAAATATTATTTTTTATTTGAGTATTAAACAAATACAAATAGGGATATATTCGATTCGGATGATATTCGAATATTCGAATATATGTATATATATACACAGACTATGTTTTCAACATCAAAAGTCAAGCAACGTAATTTAGTATAAAGTGTATTTTAATTACTAAGAATTCAATAAATTAACGTAACACGAAAATCTAAAGCACATGATTTTTAATAGTTATATTTTATAAAATATAATTTGTGTAAGATGCAAATGTATTAATGTTTTTAGATACGGAATATAGTATAGTATAAGGAGTATCGTAAGTTAATTTACAAATCAATGTTAGTCTATCATATAAAAATGACATAGTATGATTATTCAAATATTCGTTTAGGATTCGATAACTATTCGATTATTAATCAAATACATATTCAAATCTTGTTTTGAATTCGTCTCGTATTCGGATTTGGATTCGTATTCGAAAAAATTAAACAAATACAAATTCAAATATCTCCGCTTCGATTCGTTTACACCCCTAGCTAAGACTAGGAGTGTACAAAATCCGGGTCGGACCGAAAAACCGGACTAGAAAAACCGGTTCTAGGCTAGACCGTTAAAATTTCGGACCGGTCTCCGGTCTAAAGATTTTGGACCGGTAAAATTCCGGTCCAAGACCAGATCGTTTCCGGGTCGGACCGGTAAGACGAGATTGTCTATTTTTTTAAAAAAAAATACCTATAATAAGGAGTATACATATAATTATAAATACGATTGTATATTTCATTTGTTCTTCTTACTTTAAAATGTAATATAATTTTTAAAATGTAATTTGCATTTTTAAATTCATTTCATTGACCTTTACCCAAGACTATCCATAATATATATATATATATATATATATATATATATATATATATATATATATATATATATATATATATATATATATATATATAGACACACACACATATACATACACACACACATCCAGATATACATATACATGGCCACATGAGTTTCTGATACAAATCGTTGAATAAGTTATTTAATTAATTGTTTATTAGTTAGCAGTTATTTATTAGTTAGTATTTATTATTATTATTTATTAATGTAATATAGCTTTTATTAGATGAGCAAAAAATGATAAGCTTCTTCAAGTGTTTTTTTATATTTTTTTATATCGAAGCATTTCTTAAATCGACAGGATTAGAGTTATCATTAAGGTTTCCATATCTCTTACAGATGGAGATGTAACCTTTTCATTATGATCAAGTAATAGGAATATCATAAACTTAATCTCTCATCTTTTTTGTTAAGTACTTAGAAGCGCTCAAAGTTTCCTATTTTTCTCTCCGCCCTTATTCTTTGAACTTGAAAAATGATCAAAGTGCTCCCTTTTAGAACTTTCGTACCAATTGATACGAAGGCCTTGCGCGTGCACTTACCATAATTTAGCTCTCACTACTTTGTCTAGTGTGTACGTTAACCAAGAAGATTCAACTTCTTTAAAAACTTCATTCATAACGCGTATTAAAAGAGTTAACTTTAATCAAGAAGGCATGAAATGAGAATAACGGACAATAACGTACGCCATAGACAAAAAAGTTGGTGCCGGGAAGATCTATTACCATCCACCTTTAGTTCCCTTTTAATTTTCACCTTGTTTTAGGTAAAAAAATTTCACCTTTTGATTTCTTTTCTTATTTTTTTGACCGTTTTCTAATGCTCCCTAATGCGGAAATTTATTACGAGGCGACACAAATTATATTAAAGTAATTATGGCCACGTTCTCTTCTACTTATTTTTGCTACTTATTATTTTTTCTTATTAGAGTCAGATCAAATCAAATTAGATTCATTCAGATCGGAATATTATATCATATTCATTCAGATTAGATTCATTCAGATCAGATCCATTCGAATTAGAAAATTATTTAAAAATAAATAATTAATAAATAATAAAAATAAAAATTACAATATTAATAATGATTAAAATAATAATAATCATTTTTATTGTTAGCTAATAATAATTATAGTGATTAATGTTATTATGAATATTAATTAGTAATAATAATAACTAATAATAATAATTTGTTATAGTCGTACTTATCAATAACTGTAACAATAATTAATAATAATGATTCAAATGATTATTATTATTATTATTGAATAATAATATATTTAATAATAATGATAATAACAATCAATAATAATATTTATTTTTAAATATAATAATAACAATAGTTATTGTTAACTAATAATAATAGACTTCAAAATTAATTACTATTTTAATTAAAGTTATAATTAATAATGATAAAAATCATCATTAATGATAACACGTAATTATTATTATTGTTGTTGTTGTTGTTATATTAAATATAATTATTAAAATAACAAGTATAATAATAATAATAATACTAATGAATAATTAAAATTATAATTAATAATAATAAAAATTGTTTCTGTTAATATTAAATAATTATAATTATTATTAATTAATAATAAATTATTTTTATTATAATTATTGTTATTAATATAATTATTATTACTCTAACTATTTTGAATTTCAAATAAATCAATTCAAATCAGATCAGATTAGATTCATTCTGATCGGACCACTCTTAAAAAATTCAGTTTAGATCAGTCAAAGAGAACGCAACCTATGTCCCTTTATTTTTGAAGAAAACAACATAAGGGTCATAAGGGTATCCACAGTCATAGCATCTCTTATTAGATAGACGTTCAACGGTTCAAGCATGGCTCGACTTCAAAGATGTTATTCTAGTATCTCTCTTAACATCCAGCTCTTCCAATGGTATCATGACTATCATCTAAGCATTTCATTTACATAAATATTTATTCAAATTTTGACTCCAAAGTCAAAATCAACTTGTGGGGTGCAATTGAAGGGGGTGGGGGTTGTGTTCGGGTCGGGGCCGGGTGAGGGGTTTACCGGGGGGGTTAGGAGGGGTAAGAATCATCAATTTTACGAACAGGGCACCGAAGCGCCCCCGGGTCATCCTATGACATCAAGGTTCAATGTCATTTGAACCTTGGTGTTATTCAATTATATGGAGTATATTTTAGTGGGTCCTACTTTCACATAAACAAAATAATCTTTTATTTTTTATGATTATAAATATTAATTTTAAATTATATAATACATGATTAATTAAAATTAGTTTTTTATTTTTTAATGAATAACTAAAACGTTTATTAATAATAGATTGAAAACAAGACACTATGATAATAAGTGAAAAACTACTCGTATATTTTAAAACACTCTGTTGGTTTTTATAATTATTTTAGAACACCCATATTGAATAAATTTTTTTAAAAAAAGAAGAGTCATTGCAATTGGAATACGATAAAACTGCTTGCTCATTAGGAGTCTTTAAAAAAACATTTTCAATAAAAACCCATAATAAGTGAAGAAACAAACAAATAATATAATAATCCCTAATAAAATGACAAATAATAATTAAAGTAATTATGGCCCCGTTCTCTTCTACTTATTTCTGTTGCTTATTATTTTTTCTTATTAGAGTCAGAACAATCATATTAGATTCATTCAGATCAGAATATTATATCATATTCATTCAGATCAGATCAGAACTATTCGAATTAGAAAATTATTTAAAAATAAATAATTAAAAAATAATAAAAATAAAAATTACAATGTTAATAATGATTAAAATAGTAATAATCATTTTTATTGTTAGCTAATAATAATTAGAGCGATTAATGTTATTATCAATATTAATTACTAATAATAATTTATTATCATCGTACTTAATAATAAATGTAACAATAATTAATAATAAGGATTCAAACGATAATTATTGTTATTATTGACTAATAATATAATTAATAATAATGATAATAACAATCAATAATAATATTTATTTGTAAATATAATAATAACAATAATTATTGTTAACTAATCATAATAGACTTCAAAATTAATTACTATTTTAATTAAAATTATAATTAATAATGATAAATATCATTATTAATGATAGCACGTAATTATTATTATTATTGCTGTTGTTGTTATATTAAATATAATTATTAAAATAATAAGGATAATAATAATAATAATAATAATGAATAATTAAAATTAAAATTAATAATAATTAAAATTATTTTTGTTAATATTAAATAATAATAATTATTAATAATTAATAATAAATAATTTTTATTATAATTGTTTTTATTAATATAATTATTATTACTCTAACTATTTTGAATTTCAATTAAATCAATTCAAATCAGATCAAATTAAATTCATTCTGATCAGATCAGTCTTAAAGAGCTCAGTTCAGTTCAGTCGAAGAGAACGCAACCTATGTCGCTTTATTTTTGA